CCTTATTAAATATATATTTAATTAAAAACTGTTTATATCAGAGTACAGATTATTTCGACAATAAATAACTTCCAATAATTAAAAATCAAAACTCAAAATTATTCTTCAGAAGCAATATTGGCTTGTGTTTCAGTCTTTAAAAATCGAAGAAAGTAGGGCTATTTTTTGGAATCAAAAATCGAATATACAATAAAGTATTCGAATGAAAAAAGCATTTAAACAACAAAAATATAGTTACCTATATTTGATTAGGTATTCTGAATAAAATTATGAATAATGTTTTGTTATACTACGGAGAGCAGACTTTATTGAAGATTATACTTAAATTCTGGAGGGAATCAGTATTAAATTCACTTTACCAATAAAAATGCCTTCTTTTAAGGTCTTCTTTTACACCCTAAAATTAAATGGACTTATATTACAACTGAATGGATTGTAAAAAATTTAATTGGGGCTCTGAAAGGTACAAACTAAAAAAGTAATCTTGTTTATATAAGGAATGTAAATATATAATATTTAATTAAATAATTTTTAAATGAACTACTAATTTAATCTTCTAAAATATTTTTAAAAAATATTGGAACTGAACTTTCATTTAAAATTTTTTTATTTAATTTTAGAAGGAAAATATGGGAATTTTAAAAAATAGATTAAGTTTATTTCAAAAATTTTTTATTTAATTATATGAATTTTCTGATATTACTTTACTAACTCTTATAATTGCAATAATTTGACTAAATTTAAATTAAAAAAATTATTCAGAAAATAATTTCTGAAAAATAAACTTTGATTAAAATGTCCAAAAAAATTTAATTTTTATGATAATCGAATAATATTTATTTAAATTTAGACGTGAGAAAAAATAAAAAATAGAAAATATTTAGTCACGAAATTCTCTCGAAATAAAGAAAGAAAATATGTATATTGAACCTTTTTAGTTAATTGAATATTTAAATAGAAAATATTTAGTATATTTTATTTAAAATGAAAGGAATACTTTTAAATAAGAAAAATAAAATCCGGAAATAAAACACATTAGTAATTTAGAGAGAAACTTATTTTTTGAAATAAAATTATGTTTAATAGTAAAACAAACATAGTTTATTTAGTATTTATCTCGATTAATGGATTATGATTTATGTGGATATAATGAATATGTAGGGTAAAATAACATTGCTGCTTTCTGAGTTGTATTATTAAAAAAACTACAAGAAAATATAAAAAATCCTCATAATCTTTAAAAGAACACAGAAATCGTAAATATTTAATCCCTGATGTACCTCATGCACCAATCTAGTTTGGGAGCGAGTTCTGGGATAAATTTATATTTAAAAATTAATTTTGAATTTAATTTGACGTTAAAAATATGTTTATATTTTTATATTAAAATATAAATATTATTTGGATATGTTATTAATTTCTAGACTTTTTTAAAAAATATAGAAATATGTATTTAAAGGTTAAATTCTTTAGGGAGATTTAAATATATTTTATTTTAAAAATATTATTATTTTTAAATAAAAGATTAAGAAAAGAAAAATAATGAAGAATTTGTTTTCACTTAAAGATTTTAAAAAATTTTATATAAAAATAAAAAATAAATAGTAATTAATTCTATAAAACTATAGATTCCTACAAACAGATTAGATTTTCGGTTATGGAGACTGATGTTGGTTTGACAAATATGGATACCATAGACAATTTGGATATCGAAATAATGTCCCTTTTTCAAATAATTACTTAATTAATTGAGAAATAATTAATTTTAATTACCCTTTTAATTACCCCTCCAGCGAGAGGTTGAAAAAATAATTACCCTGGGTAATTAATTTGGCAAATATGGATAAATTCAAATAAATTATGTCAGAGAGATTCGATAATTATATAAAAATGAAATAAAAAAAGAATATTAGTAATTAGTATTTATTTATAAAATAAATGTTTTTGAGAAAAAATTTTTTAGAAATTAAAACAAAAAAATAAAAAGAAAAAATATTATTAATTTATTATTATTTTTTTAAGCAAAAAAAACAAAAATATTTTAACATTTTTAGTTTTTGCTTGATATATTTCCCAAAAATTTTTTTATTCTTTATATTCAATTAAGCATAAAAAATAAATAAAATAATTATTTAAAAAAATTTCTTTTTGACATTTTAATTTTTTAGAAAAAAATATTAAATAATTAAATTATTAGTAAATGTCATAATAAAATAAAATGAACAAAAATCGCGTGGGTTGTTCACCTTTAAAATAATTATTAAACAAATTTATTTTTATTATTTAAATAAAATTAAAAAATATAATTCATTACATATATTCTTTAAGAAAACTTTTTTTAAAGGAAATAACAAAAATTCATTTAAAATGGCTGATTGTTTTCAATTATTTAACAAGAATTTGTTACAAAAGAGAAAAAAGTTAAAATAATTTTTTTATTAAATATTTTTTTTTAAATATCTATCGTAACATTTTTCTAAAAATTGAATCTGTTTTAAAAAAAGCATAGTCTAGTTGTAGGGTTGGGCCCCGAACGCTAGGGGGCGGTTGTTTCGGGGTACGGGATCGGGGCGCAACTCTATTTAAAAGAAAGTGTAAAAGTATTGAAACTAATAACTTCTTTGAAAAATCAAACCTTTGTAGCGTTATAAGAAAAAATCCAAATAAAGTCTCAGATTCCTCGACTTTCGGGGTAATTTTTAAATAAATAAGGAATAATCTTTTAGTAATAAATTCCTAATTATTTATAATAAAAATTGTAAAATTAAAATAAATTATTTATATCAATTTTTTCTTTTGTTATCTTTTAATGTTTGGATTCTTGCCTTTGGCACAAAATTTTAATTTGCATTAATGCACATGAAACACTAAATATGGTTATTTTACTAAAAATAAAAAAACACAAAGAATTTGGATGGAAATATTTTGAAAAAATAATTGGAAATTAATAAAGAAATTTAAATAATTTTTTAACTATACATACTTTTTAATTTAAATTAGAGTTCAGCGGTATCGGGATTTTGAGAAAACCCCGGGATCGGGATTTAGGAATGGTGGTCCCGATCCCGATCCCGGATCCCGGCACGGGATCGGGATTTGCCGAAATCGGGATCGGGATTTAGTATGGAGATCCCGATCCCGGTCCCGATCCCGAATCGGGACCGGGATCGAAAAATCGGGATCGGGATTTAATAAAAAATTTTTAAAAATTTTCAAATTTTTATTTTCTTCATATACGGCTCAATATAATTCTAAAATTTCCAGTGCGGTGCTGAAATATTGAGTTTATGTCACATAGACGCACGATTTACTCTCCGGTTCAGGGGATTAAGGGGGTTCAGGGGATTAAATTCACCGATATCCTTCTATACTCCAAATCCACCGATACTCCTCTCAATCCCTTTTGATCCTTCGATATCACACCAAATCACTCAGTATTTCATTAAATTTGTAAGGACAGTTTTGTCCATTTTTGCGGCGCCGCAGGCGAAAATTTTGAAATTTTGGATGTCAACATGCCAAATTTCTTCTCTTTTCTGCGCCGCAGGCGAAAATTTTTCTTACTTTCATGCCTCCCCTCTTCAGTTAACTTTATTTCACAGACTTCTAGTCAATTTATAAAGTCGGGATTTGCATCGGGATCTGATGCACATCCCGATCCCAATCCCGGATCCCGGCTCGGGATTAAAATTGGGCGGGATCGGGATCGGGATATATATTTCGGGACCGGGATCAGAAAAATCGGGATCGGGATTTGAAAAACCCGGGATAATCCCGCCCGATCCCGACCGGGATCCCGATCCCGCTGAACTCTAATTTAAATTATTTTGTTTAGATTCCCATCTGAAAATTACAGTTATTACAGTTAAATTACATTTAATTTTAATCCCACATAAATAAACCAATTTAGCTAAAATACTATTTAAAGTCCTTATTAAAAATTTTTTTTATTTTTTCGTGTTAAACCATTAGGAGTATCAAAAACTTGTTAAAACATGTAGCAGAATTCTAGTTAAATTAAATTTACTTAAAGAATTTTAATCTTAATTTAATATATTAAATTTTTGTAGGAAATTTTTAACGTCAATTAATTGGATTTAAAAATCATAGTATAAATTAAATTTAATTAAAATAAAAACATTATTTTTATATTTTGACAGACATTTTATAAAAAATTTGGCAACTTTTTTAAAAATATAAATAAAAAAATTTTTATTTTTATTTTATTTTCTCCATCCAATTTTCAATTAAATAAAATCCAAAGCTTTTTAAGCAATCCATCAAATTTTATATACAACAATTGCCCCAAGAGATTACAAAAAATATATTTTATATATGTAGATCAAAAATTGAATTAATTCTTTAAAAAATATTTTTATTTTAAAAAAGTCTTTCTAGTATGTTTTTAAATGTGGGGAAATAAATTGACTTTAATTTAAAATTAATTTAAATTAAAAATAATAATTGATTATGGAAAAAGTAAAGAAGACTTTTTTGTTAAATAATTAACAAAATTTTGTAAAACTAAGAAATATTATTAAAAATAAAGTCCGAAAAATAAAAGAACACAAATGAATCTTTATTTTAATTTGAATTGTTAAGGATCAAGTTTATATTGTATATACTTATCAGCAGTGTCGTTGATAGTTGTTAAATTGGATTTATTGAGTAGAAATATGTATAACAATTAATATATTCGTAAAAAATAATTTAATTTTTAAATTTATTTGAAAAAAAATTGATCAAAAATATTGCAAAATTATAGAGAATCCGGAATGTAATTTCCATTTTTTTGATGATAAAAAATTAAATCATTTAACTACTAGCATTCATTTTCTCTGTTTTAATTATCAATTTCCACAAAAAGCCACTCTCTCTTTTTTCATTTTTATTTAACTAATAATTTTTTAATATACTTTTATCTAAAAATTTTTTTTTATAAAAATTCTTTTAAAATATTACCTTCTCAAAATATTTATTCTCAAATAATTTTTTTAAAAATGAATTTAATACAAAAATTTATTTTATTTTTATTCATTTTTAATTCAAAAATTAATTGCTTTAATAAATTTTCTAAAACAAAAAATTTAAATAAAATAAATAATCTTCCTGGTTTAGAATCTGAAATTAATTTTAATCATTATTCTGGTTAGTTTTGGAAGAAAAAAAAATAAATTAAAATTTTTTAAAGGTTATTTACAAGTCTCAAATTATCATTTTTTACATTACTGGTTTGTTGAATCACAAAATGACCCAGAAAATGATCCAATTGTTTTTAAATATTTTTTTATTTAAATTTAATTTTAAAAAAGATTTTTTGGTTTAATGGAGGTCCAGGATGTTCCTCTATGGATGGATTACTTAAAGAAATGGGCCCCTATTTAGTTAATCCAGATGGGCGTTCTTTAAGATTAAATAAATATTCTTGGAATAAAAATGCTTCTGTGGTTTATATTGAATCTCCAGTAGGTGTTGGGTATTCTTATTCTGAAGCTTGGTCTTTAATTGAAATTGATGATGAACAGGTTTTGAGAGGAATTTAGGAATTAAAAAAATAATTTTTTTGAAGACAGCCAAAGAAAATTATGAAGCACTTAAACAATTCTTTGAAATATACCCCTCATTTCGAAATAATTATTTATTTATAAGCGGCGAGTCTTATGCTGGTGTTTATGTTCCTTCACTTTGTGCTTTAATTGTTGATGGACAAAAAGAATATCCACTTAAATTAACTGTTAATTATTGTGGAATTTAATTAGAAAAAATATTTTTTTGTAGGGGATGATGATTGGAAATGGGTATATGAATGCTAGATTAGATATTGATACAACTATTAAATTTGCATATGCACACGGTTTAGTTGATGAAAAATTATGGCAATTAATGAGAGAAGAATGTTGTAATGGATGTTTTGGTAATTTTTTTGAATTTAAAATTTTTTATAATTATTTGGATAGATGGATGTGATTTAAGTATGATGTCAAATTATTTCTGTCAAAATAAGGTAAATATTTTTAAATTAATTTATTGGATTGAAAAGCTATTTTATTTATTTTGTTTTCTATTTAATAGAAAATTAAGCGAAATCTAATGTTTAATGACGGGTCAAACCCTTAGATTAGGGATCTCTTCTTATATCCTGATTATTGAATTAAATATATAAAAAAATTTTTGTTTAAATGAATCACCTAACAGCATTTAAACGCTTAGGCGGGGGTTAAACGATATACATATAAGGATAGTCGATGCCCCGGTAGCTTTGTGGTAGAGCACCTTTATTTGTGTGAGCAAGGTGAGCGAGCAATGTCAGCGTTGTCGCAGGTTCGAATCCTGCCTGGTGGCTAAACTTTTGCTAAACTCTTTCTATTAAAATTTACTTTTTAATATATTTTTAAAGGTCGAAGAAATTTTTGAATTTGTCTGGCTAGGTGGATTGAATCCATATGATTTATATAGAGATTGTGGTATTGTTAAAGTTTTATTTCTAGAATTTTGTTTAATTTAGATTCATTCTCTCCTTTAAATTCAATAAAAATGCATGCACTAAGGCGTGGTTTACTTCCGACAAAAATAAATGAAAGAATTGTAGCGAAAAATATTATGAACCGTAATATTCGAAGTGCTCGATTTATTAATGTAATTAAATAATTATTAAATTAAAATTCAAGATAGTAGACTTCCTTGCAATTAGATATCCTTCAACCTTAAAAAGTATAACCTGGGAATTAAAATCCGAATACTTTTTGCTTAAATTTAGATTTTTTCTGAGTTTCTTATTAAATAAAAGTCAAAATTTAGAAGAATGATTTAAATAATGTAACAGAAGTTGGTTCTAATGTTGCTACAGATCCAGGAATTCCTTGTTTAGATGGTAAGTTAAATTGGTATATTTGGTTATCTTAATGGAAAATTTACATATTTTTTGATATATTTCTTTAAGATTTTTCTAATTGAATGATTAAAAATAAAATTATTTTCAGATTCTGATGCAACAAGATATATGAATTTGAAGGAAGGTTAGAATAAATATTAGAATAAAATTAGTAATATTTTTTATATTTTCGAATTTTACAAACATTTATTAAAATATTTATTAGTTCGGCAAGCACTTAACATTCCTTCACATTTGGGTAATTGGTCAATATGCAATGAGGATGTTAGCAATAATTATAATCAAATATATTGTATTAAATATAATTTTTAAATAATTTTTAAAAAATTAATTTAAAGCCGATATGTCTCCATTTGTTAAAAAAGTATTGGGAGCTAAAGTTAAAACACTTTTGTATTATGGAGATACAGATATGGCTTGTAATTTCCTTTTGGGTCAACAATTTGCCTCACAACTTGGATATAGAGTAATCAAAAATAATTTTTCAAATTTTGGTCGCCGTTGGAATTTTTTGACCGAGATAACAAAATGAATTTAAAAATTCAAAATTCATCTGAGAAAGCATAAATCCAGTTGGTCTGGGATAATGCCTGGGTCTATTCGATTAAAGTATTCGGCACAATTCTTTTGTTGTATAAAATATTTGAAAAATCTATGGGCATTTTATTTCTCGGTTAAAGAAATTCCGACGATGACTAAAATCTATTATTAAATCTATAATTAGGTAATAATGGACGCAAAACCGTGGAGAGTTGATGGACAGATTGCCGGATTTAAAACTAAATATACAAATGGATTAACCTTTATTACAAGTTTTTTAATAATTTTATTTTTGAATTTTTAAATTTAAAGTTCGAGGCGCTGGACATATGGTAAAATTTAAATATACAGGGTGCGGCATAAGTAATTGCACACTTGTTTTCTCTCATAACTTTATTAAAACACAATAAAATAAAATCGAAATACAATCAAATGATAGAGAATTAAATAGGGAACAATAATAATCAAGAAGTTTCGAAATGCCCACCCTTGGCTTTGATACAGAGGCGAAGGCGCGAAGAAAAATTTTCGCAAATAGCACGCACCTCCTTGAGTGTAATTAAGTCCCACTCTCGGGTGAGAGAGTGGCGCAGAGACTCCAAACTTTTTTGAGGCTTAGCACAGACCCTGGACTCCAAAATAGACCAAAAAGAAAATCCATCGGATTCAAATCCGGGGAGTAAGGCGGCCATTCCTGAGCGCTAATGAACCCAGGAAAATTGGCCATGCAGCAGTCCTGAACTTCTTTCGCCTTGTGTGCCGGAGCAGAGTCCTGTTGGAAAATCCAGACTCTGCGACCGAAATGGCTCTTGAACCGAGGCTTCAGAACACGCTGAAAAAATTCTCGCAAGTAATAGTCTTTGTAGACTTTTACACCAAAATCCACGAAAATAAGGGTTTTTTTGACTGACGCGCAAATACCGGCCCAAACCATGACAGATTGGGGATGTTGGGAATGAGTGATAAGTCTATCGGAAAGAGGAGATTCTGAAGTCCAAATTCTATAATTTTGATGGTTGTGTACAATTTTTAATGTAAAAATTTTTTCGTCTGTGAAGAGAATGTCCGGACATGCGTGCCACTGGAGGAGCAGTTTGCATCCTTCGAGCCTAACTTTTTTGGTTTTTTTGTTGGCAGTTGTGCTTTTTGGATTTTGTAGGGTATTAACCCAAGTTCATTTCTGGCTATTCGTCTGACGGTCATCTCGCTTATTCCGGTTTCACGAGCCACTTTTCTTACGGAGGGTCGATAATTGAGATGCACCCAGTTTTTGATCATTTTAATATTCTTGGAAGTGATTACGGAACGAGGTCTTCCACTTTTTTGTAAGTTCTTCGTTGTGCCATCATTACTAAATTAATTTCAAAAAAATTTTCTCCCAAAAAATTTTCACCAGAATTTTTTGAAAGTGTATTGTACAGTGCTTTTTGGGACATTCAAAAGAGATGAAATTTTGCGGACTGAATTTTTTTGCGAAAAAGTGAGATTATAGAATCACGTTGACTAGCCATGATAGAGAATTGAATGGGCTAAAAAATAAGCAAAAAATCGTTTAAAAATATTGACAACAAAAAAAGTTATAAGGAATTTAAAAGTGTGCAATTACTTATGCCGCACCCTGTATTCTTAATAGTTTTAAAAATATTTTTATTTTCTTAAGGTACCGGAATGGAGAGCCCCTCAAATATTTTACGCGATACAAAATTTTTTAAATTATGGGGAAGTTTAAATTAATTAAAATTGTTATATTTTTAATTTAAAAATTGTTATTAAATATAGTTAAAAAATATTTATCTTTTATTTTTTTCTAAAAATATATAAATTCTAATTAATTATCAAAAATTACATATTTGCTTTTTTAAGCATTACCGAAGGCATTAATTTTGATTTTTCATTTGTAGGCTTAAAATAAAATTGAAATTAATTTTTTAAATTAAAAATACCTTCATTTCTGTAAATTCTAAATGTTCAATATTTGAAGAAATCTGGAAATAAATAAATTAATTTTGTTTTTAATTTTTAAGAATTTAATAAAGTTTAAACTCCACAATTTAGGGTAATGTTAAGATTTATTTATCCATTAGGAGGATACTCCCCCCTTCATTTTAAGCTAAAATAGTTTGCCCAAGTTAATATCTAAAAGTGGGGTTAAAAGTTTAATTTAATATATTACCCTTGTTGTAAACTCATAATCTTCAGGCACATCAAAGAAATTATCGTCACAGTAGACTTTTGAATCGGGAACGTGTGTAAGCCAATTAAGTTTTAGAATAAGACCTTAAAAATAAATATACTAAATTTTAAACTATATTTAATTAATACCAGTAATTGCCCCAACAACTCCAGCTAACAAAAGGGTTACAACAAGCCCACAAAGTTGGAAAAGTGCTTGTTGGGATTGGGTTCGTCCAGATTGGATAATTCTTGAACTAAAATTATAATCTTTTAATTAATTTAAAATTAATTTACCTTTCCGGATAAGATCCATCTTTGTAGCAAAGAAGGACTATTGCACTAGCTAATACTCCAATTATTCCTATAAATTTCAAATAATTACATACTTATTTTAATTAAAAAATACCGGGCATTGCGTGTAAATTATTTACGCCTCTTGTATCGCTAAATCCGCATTTCTTTTCGAGAATTGGCTAAAATTAATATCCAAAAATAAATATTTAAAAATTAATTTTACAGAAATAAAAATATATCCAAAAACAGCAACAGCCCCACTAACAACCCCTATAGCTAAAGCATCAAAAGGTGCCAAAAGAATATTAGCACAAGCACCCAAAGCAACTCCACCCGCTAATGGAGCATTAACCAAGTGGCGGACATTGAAATTCTTAAAAATAAATTTAATTTAGAAATTAAAATTGAGGGAGATTGAAGAATAGTGCCAAAAAAAGTATTAAAAATAATATTTTAAAGAGCTAAAAAATAATTTAATTTTCTAGATATTACCTCTTTTTTGTTGTAAAAAGAGGAAACAACAAAAGGCTGTGTATGTATTTACAATTGAACGATTACGGGCATCTGCTCCAAATGCATTTGCAGCATTAAAAGAAGGCCAGAACACCCAAAGAAAGCCGGTAGCTAATTTTTAAATAATTTTAATTAAATTTTTTGGGTTAAAATAAATTAAATAAACAAAATTAAAATTATATTAATAACTTCGAGTTAACAATAATTTAAAAAATAATTTTCAATTTATTATATACCAGGGATAGGACGGGTTGAGAATAAAGTCGGGTCCGGTTCCGTGTCGGGTTTTCAAAATTTTCTTCGGACCGGAGTTCGAGTAACCCGTCCCATCCCTGTTATATACTTACCAACAAAAGTAAATATATCTGAATGATAAACACTCCCCAAATGTTCGCTGTCCCTCCATGTTTTAGTAAAAAGTACTCGACCAGCAATTAATCCAAAAACGGCCCCAAAAACGTGAATAATCATTGAACTTAATTTTTTAAAATGAGAAAGACTATTTCTGTTATAATTTACCCTCCCAAATCTTGAACTCCAAGTATTTTAACAACAATATATTCGTTAAAGATCTTTAAATAATTAAGGATTTCTCAAAAATATTTTTTATAAAAATTACAGAAAATGGGGCTTCAATTAGAGCCATAAGCAAATATTGCATTGGAGACAATTTACCACATAAAGCTCCAAAAGAAATTAAAACAACTGCAGCTGTGTAGTCAGCATTAATTAAACTAGTAATTAAATGTTAAAATAATTCGGAATTTTTGTTTAAAAATTAATAAAAAAAATTAATTTTTGAATATTCTCACTTTTGTAAATTAACATAAAATTTTCCATAGAGGGCAAATTCATCTGTTAAAAACCCTCGAACAAGTAGCTAAAAAAATGTTTGTAAATATTATAAGAATTTTTATTGTTTATAATTTTCCAATTAAAAACCCCACAGCTAATTCTAAAGTAAAAGCCGTTAACATCATTGACATTGTAAAAGATCCAAATCCATATCGACGAACAAACACAACCAAAAATCCAAATCCAACAAGAAGTATTGAATGAACATCTTGAAAATCTTCAAAAAAATTAAAATTATTTTAAGAAAATAATTAAAAAACAAAAAATAAAATAATTTAATTGAAGTATTTTATTGAATAATTACCCTTTGTAATTTATTCTTTTAGCCTCTCAATAAATGGGATTATTATCCGAGGGAAGGCAATTATTCGAGTTCTGAAATTTGAAAGTCTTGTAGGGTATCTGAAAGAGGGTGATTATCTTTTCAATAGAGTTAATTATTAGAGAGGGGTAATTATTCAAGAAAAGTTAATGTTAAATTAATTTAATTAAATAAAATAATTATTTATTAAATAATTTAATAAATTAACCTTAAATTAATTTTAATTAACAATAAAATATGGAAATCAAATATAAATTTAACTTTTAAACTAAAATCAAACCAGTTAATTTTTTCTGCGATTCTTGTATCAAAACAGAACCGATTGGAACTGATGATGGAAGAGCATTGGGATCGTGTTGTGAAAAAAGAGCAAATAAAACTAAGAAAAATAATTGGGCAATTCCAAGTAGAACACAAAATTGGTTGTGTGGAAGTTTAACTGTGGCCTAGAAAAGAATTAAATATTAAAAATCTTTAAAATTATTAACTCCCAAAATATTAAAGTATATCACAAAGTATTAATTTTCAAAAAAACATTTGAGACAGACCAGGGGAATTTATAATTGGGGGTAATAACTCTGGTTAATATTAAATATAACCGGAATGTAAATGTAGATATTTTTTGTTTTTATTTACATTAATCGAATAATATTTTATAATAAATCATTAATTATTAAATTTATTAAAAAAAATTAATTAAATAGTAAAATTAAATTTATTTTTAATTTTTCTACCATCAAAAGCAAAACAAGCAAAAACATAGCCGGAGAGACTAAAATAAGCCCCTCAGTGAGATATGTAGAAAATGTTGCTTTCATTGTTTTTATTTAATTATTAGGGATTAAATTTAAAAATAAAATTATTTAAAAGTCATCTATAATTATCTATAAGTTTATAAAGCTATAAAGCAAAATTTTATGAGAGATTTCCCAAGCTTGTAAAGAATTTTTGTGTTTTAAACAACTTCTCAAAAAATGATAAATTTAATTTTTGGTTTTTCTAAATTTGTAAACAAAAAATAAATTAATTTAAAAAATAATTCTAAACTACTAATAAAATAGCCAAGAATGTTAAACTATCAGCAATTTAAACTGGTTCAAATAAAACAAAAAATAATTTTTTGATGTGAGTAAAGTATGCGAATTTAGATAAAATATTTTTGTATTTTATTTTAATTTTTATAAAAACAATTAATCGCCGGTTAATGTTAAAAAAGAGCAAAAACAAGATTTAATAAAAAAAGGAAATATTTTGGATGTTTTATTAAATTGTTTACAATGTCACTCACTCACACATGCATGTTATCGAGAATATTAGTTGAAGGAGGGAGGGGAGGGAAGAGAGGGGAAATCAAAGGGAAATTGACGGAAATGTTACCCCCAAAATGTCAACATTTTTATTTACAGCCGAAAAAGTGTTTTTCTACTTTCCCTTTGAGAATTGTGATATTTTGGATTCACAAATAGTGTGAAAGGACGTGTATGACTATTTATTGATTCCTTCCTTTAGCGGTTGTTTTTAGTATTTCGCGTGTAGATCAAAGGAAGAATAAATTGAGAAATTAAATAATAAATACTTAACCAAAATATCAAGTTTTGTGATTTACAGAAAATAAACAGAGACACTTTTGCCTATCTTAAAAGCTTTAATCAAGAGTAAGGTCATAAATACTTTTTAATAATTTCTCGAGAATATTTACTCCCTCATCTTGATAGAACTTTGCGTTAAAAATTTTCAAGTTCGCCTGCATCTTTGAAAAATTACAGTACACTTACCAGCTATAATGCTCTTATTGATATAAGGGCTCTCGATTAGGGTTGGTGGATCGGATAAATTCTCGGTTCTGATATCGGATCCGGATATCCGAAAATTTTTAACTATCTGACAACCTTACCCTTGAACACAAATTCCTTCCATAATAATACCTGATTGGTGTAAGTATAATAATACCCGATTAATAATAATACCCATAATAATATAATAATACCCTAATATATAATAATATAATAATATATTATAATATAATAATATAATAATATAATAATATAATAATATATAATAATACCCCATAATAATACCCGATTGGTGTAATATTACACCAATACCCGATTGGTGTAATATTATTATTATTATAAGTATTATAATAATAATAATACCCGATAATACCCGATATTGTAATAATTACACCAAATTGTAAATTTGGTGTAATTATTCAAACTAGCAAAATTTATTTTACAGATAAATAAATACTTAAAAAGTTTGTACATAGTAAATATTTAAATACAATTAATTATTTATCTTCTTTATTTATCAGAGGAATCTGCAATGATGGCTGAGAGGAAGAGGAAGGTTTAAATATTGCTGAGGAAACAGATTTTGGTATTATTCCAAATGCCATTTTCTTTAAATTTTCAACTTTTGCTTTAATTGAATTAATTTCCTCAAAAATTGCTAAAATAATAAATAATTTGTTTTATATTTAATTAAAAAATTAGGTACCTTCACTAAATTCGTGAGCATTTTCATAACATTCTTCCCATCCTCCCCATTTAGGGAAAATAATTAAATATTCTCCAGAAATTATTAAACTATGAACAGACTTATCTTCAAAAATTTTATTATCTTTTTTAACTTGTAAATTATATATCTGACTATATCCGTTACTATTAATTAAACGAATGGAACATTTGTTTTGTTTATCCACAATTTCATAAGTTGACAACTAAATTTAAATAAATTTATTTAAATTAATTTGGAGGAAATATTTTTAATGAAAAAAGGTAAGATTTAGTGCTTGGAAATTTTGATTTTTACTCGAACTCCTCGTATCTTCTAGCACCTACATGTTTGTCTAGTTTTATGTCCTAGAATGCGGTCTAACCTAGTAACTAACAGAATAACACAAGTATATGTAGAATAACACGTTTATACGAATAGTAAATAGGTACAAGAATAACGAAGGTGGTAAAAGGCAAGGATGATTAAGGACAGCGTCGACGGTAGGCCCAGATGCCGACCGAGATTGATCTCTACTGACTCCTTTTGTACTAGACCTCGTACTCGTACTTCTACCAAATACGAGTGTTGGATCCTTGGACTTGTTATTTTTAAATAAATATTCTTTTTTTTCTAATTTTTAAATTTGATTGACATTTATTCAAATATTTTCCATCATTCCCAACTCTCCCCAACCTAAACATTAAACTTTCTTTTATTTAAAATGACCTTTTCTTTATGTTTAAAAATAACCTTTCCTTTCCTCTCATAAATATTCTTTGTATTTAAAAATAATCTTTTTCTTTCCTTTATCAATTTAAACTTTTCCCATTGGCTCATATTCAAATAATAAATAACTTTGTTTAAACTTTGTTTAATGCCTTCCCCTTCTTTACCTATCTAAAATATACTTTTCATACAAATCGCCGCCCTTATTTTCTTGACTATATAAACTCCAATCTGATACATTTACTTAACGTATTGAACGTATCTAAAACTTGTTAAAAACTTATTTCACTTGAATAAACTTATTTAAAAGACTTGTGTTGAAAATTAGATAAATTTACCTGAAAAGTTCAGAGAAAACCTAAGCTTAAAACCGGGTCAAACTAAGTAAAAGAGTCAAATATTACACTGGTGCCACGACCTTCGGGAAAGAGATTTGGTTTCTAATTGGCCACTAGATTACCAATTCTCTTGCCCAAACAATAAGTTTGGAGTTTTTGTTTTGAAAAAAAATTTTTAATTTTAATTTGTAAAATTTTATCTGCCTAGCAGATTTTTTTTGTTCTCTGAAAAGAAGAAAGGTTTGAGCTGTGTGCGAACCGAAACCAGTGCACTTTAAAAATCAAAATTGCCTGAGCTTAGTGCGGGCTTCAAATTGGAAATAAATATTGCCTGGGCTTAGTGCGGGCTTATAAATTGAAGATATACATTAAGCCTTGAGCTGTGTGCGAGGCCTTATAGATAAAAATATATTTAGAGCCTTGAGCTGTGTGCGAGGCCAATTTGTGAAAAAAGGAGAGAATTTTTAGTTCCTTGAGCTGTGTGCGAGGAGATTTGAAAAAAAGTTTTTATTTAAAGTTTGTTCATTCATCCCTTTATTTTATTTATTCATTTAATCAACTTTTATATAAATTTTAATTTATACGTTTTATTTCATTTATTCATTTAATTTAAAAATGTCTGGATCCGATTTTGATGATGTTTATTTTTCTGCGACGGAGCGAACAAACTTCCAGTCGTTACTTAATCGCCTGAGATCTTTTGAGAAAACTGTCGCTCGCTCTTTTCGTCAATTTGAAGAAAGATTAAATGTTGTAGAAGAAAATGTAAAAACAAATAAAAATGGACTTACTGGAACAAAGGGATCGGTTACTAAACTCCGAAATTCTTTAAAAAATATGGAAAAATTTGTTAAAGATAAATTAAACCAAAATGTAGATTTTGAGGAAAATCAATCGGAAGACGAACCTGAACTTGATCTAGAAGTGAAGGTTGGGGATCCTTTCCTTAATAATGGGAGTTTTATACCACATTACGATGGAAATCCGTCCATTTCATTTTCGAAATGGATAGAAAAATTTAAAGACATTTTGACATTATTGACTACTCCATTGACCGAGGCACAAAAACTAGCTCGTTTAAGATTCTGTTTGGATGGGCAAGCAAGGACTTTATATGATTCGATAGATCCCGCTCCAAATTCGTTGGAAGAAGCGATTCAATTTTTGAAAGCTCGCTTTGAAAATGGGAATACCAAAATTATAGCAAGACAGGCCTTGTCTATTTGTAAGCAAGCGCCAGGTGAACCTGTCTTTGATTTTTCAAATCGGCTGAATGAATCAGTTAGAGTTGCTTTAAGTGGAGAAAATGAGGAAACTATTAAAAAGAGACTTTTAGAAGAATTTCTGGATCGTATTACGCCAGAATTACAATTTCAGGTTAAATCGCAAAGGCCCACGGATTATGTCTCAGCTTATGAATTGGCGCAGCACTTTGAGCTTTTGTTGGGTGATAGAAAACGTGCCAATATTAACATTGCGGACCTCGCTGAAAAAGTAGATGCTTTATCAATTGCTAAAAATACACCTGAAGTTATTACTTGTTATAGTTGTAGGCGTCCAGGTCACATAGCACGTAACTGTCCTGAAAATCAAGGGAACCATAATAAAAACTATAGAAGGAATAATTATAATCCGCGAAATAACTATAACGCGAGAAATTATGATAATAGACAGAGATATAATCAAAACAGGCCAAATTACAATTACAATGGAGGTCATAGAAACAATTACAGTAATCCGAATTATCGCCAAAACAATTATGAGCAATCTGCAAGTCAAAGACGTAATAACTATAGAAATTATAATAATAACAATCAATATACCTCGAATTCGAGAGACAGCAGTAGGTCTTCTGGTAGTAGACGTGTTAGATTTGATCGTAGATCGAGTCCATCTATTAGAGTTATAAGTCCACTTCTTCTTGCGTTAATTGCATTATTATCGGTTTTTAGTGGAACTTTAGCTCATAATCCAATGATATGCTTACCTGATGCTCCAAAATCTTTATGGAAGTTTCCTGATGATCCAATTTGTCCTAACTGGCAGCCAACGGAAGCACCTGTTCCTCTAAACCTTTATGTATACAGAGCAAATACGTTAGAGTATAAAACACCGGCGACTGTTTGTAAATGTGTTAAAAGTAAAATATCGAGGAGATTAGGTTTATTTGGCTCCCAAATGGAAGAAATTACTACAGAAAATGTGAATATACCTATTTCTGTATGTAGCAAAATGAAAGAGTCAAATACATCCCAGG